GCGAATCCAGTCAGTGAACGCGCTCCTGTTTCCTCTCATCTGTTCATTACTCCTTCAGATCGCCAAACAAAGTTTGATATTCATGATACCCTTTTCAATTATCTCACAGCGGGCCCTCGTTCTGTGCCCTTCGGAGCAGACAGAATAGACTTGGTTTCCCTCGACTATGGCAGGTTCATTGACGGCGAGATGAGGGAAATATTCGTCGATGAACCCATCGTTCTCGCTGGCGCAGCCATGTGGATGAGCCAGCCCACCTCCGAGGTGGCCGGTACCTCACATCAACCCGCAGGCGCGGCGTCCCTCTCACGATTTTGGGACCGGCCGGGCACGGCGAAGACATTCGCGAAGAGCTTGACATTTTATTTCTCCCATGCACTCCGCTCCAAACCTCTACTTTCCGAACTCTTTACGTTCCCCAAGCCCATTGTAGCATGGGCAAAACAGGCCGTCGAGCTTGTTGAGCTCCATGCCGGCCAGGGCGGTCAAGTGCGCTACTCCGTGATATCCGAGCCAGACATTAGTGGTCCGCTTGCCACAAGCGCGCAGACCCTGGATGAGCTGGCATCGTGGATGGGGCACAAAGATCGCACACCCTTCTGCCTCCCCGTGGCCACGAATCCCGACCTACTTTTCGTGTTGAAACTCGCGGATGGATCGTTCGTTTGGGTGGTGTTGCAAGCTACTCCGAATCCGAGCGACGGGAGCGAACTGTTGGAGTGTCTGGAGGAAGACAAGTTGTTCTGCGACGAGGTATCGTTGTTATATCTGCCTCATTCATTTGACTTGAGCATTTATAGGAGCACGATCCTGAACATTCCGCTCATAAACGGGCCATGGAGCTACTGAATTCTCCACCCACCGGATCGCATGCGACGAAGAGCGACTCACCGACCGTGCTCCGTGTGGTTGCGTCCTTCGAGGACCAGATCGTCCTGAAGAAGCGCGGGACAATGGCCGAGCCCCACGCGAGCGTTTCGATGGAAATGTTCCGTAAATTTATAGCGGAATTGCCGCCCTCCGAGATTGTCGCCAGCATCGTCGACAGTGTCCTTGGAAAACGGAAGGAACCGCCCGCGAAAGGCAAGGGCAAGGGGCGCGCGAAAAAGCGACAGAACTCGCTGCCCGTTGCCGTGATCGAAGGCGATTCCAAGGCCGAGAAGGGCAAGAAAACGAGGGCGACGACACCGGAGCCCAGCACACGCGTTCTCAGACAGCGCCCGCCGAAGGATGCGCCTGCGGACAATAAGGGTAAAGGGAAGGCGAAGGCGAAGCAGGGATAGCAGTTGTTTTATTAGCACAGTAATAGCGTTTTCAGCGTTGATATGTACCGCGAATGGAATTTGAGTGCCCGCGGGCACAAGGAAAGTTAGGGCACATACTACTCGACTCCGAGGAAGACAGAGCGTTCCAGACAGCAGATATCCATGGACAGCGGAGAACGGAATTAGAGAGAGAGATGGATACACAGCTATACTACAGCGCAGAGTTCCTTGTATGTATGCTGTGTACGATATACGATACGATAGCCGATATTCGTCGCTAGCTATTGGAGTGATGCAGCGTGCAGCGAAGAGCGGGCGCGTAGCAGAAGGGGGAAGCGTGGTATACCAGCGCGAGAGCGAAGCAGAGCTGGAAGGCAGCTGGAAGACATCGAGCAGATATCGGGATCGGCGAGCGAGACGTCGTGCAGAAGGTGGCCTGGAAGTGTCCTTCACCCCCCGCCCACACCCCCGCGCCCTCTCCCGCCCGGGCCGCCCCTTCCGCGCCTCCCGCCGCCACCCCCGCGGGGGATGGAGACGGGGATGACGCCGGGCGGCGGTGCGCCCTGCGCTTGGGCTTGCGATTGCGATTGCGACACCTGCACGTCGCCGTCGATGCGGTGCACAATCACCGGTGCGTCCGCCGCGGGCGCGGGGGCGCGCTGCAGGATGCTCGGCACGCGCACCTCCCCGCTCCCGCTCGCGGCCGCGCTCACGCTGTCCCTGCGTTTGCCCTTGTGCCCCGCGCCCTGGGTCTCCTCTGACGGTGTCTGCGGAGCCGCACCCGCCGCCGCCGCTGCTGCGCGCTCCCTCTCCCGCTCCCTGCGCGACTTGCGCTCCCCGCCCGCACCCGGGCCCCCGCCAGCAGCGGCGCCGACGCCCGCCCCGCTCAGCGCCGCCTCGAACTGGCGCCCGATGCCGATGACGGGGCGCGTCCTACGCGCGGGCGCCGGGGCGGCAGCGGGGGGTCCGGGGACGAAATCCCCGGCGGTGGTGTTGTGCGCGTTGGCGGCGGAGGCGACGGAGACGTCTGTGGGTACGGCGGGCGGGCCTGGTACACGCTGCGGCTGCGGCTGCGGCGGGCGCTTGGCTTTGGGCGGGCGTGCGTTCGCGTTAGCCGGCTGGGGCTGCGCACTACCACCTGCTACAGCGGGTTTCGACGGTCCCGCACCACCAGCACCTTTCGCATTCTGCCCCTGGGCTTGTTGGGCCGCGGCGGCGGCGGCAGCGGCTTTCTTCGCGGCCTTCTTGCTGAGCGGCGCCCCGGCAGCGGCGGAAGTGTTAGCTTGTGCAGCGGGGGCCGGAACAGCCTTCTTCTGCTTCTGCTGGATCTGTCTTTGTTGCTGGAGGGCAATCTCCTTCTCGCGCTGCGCGGCCTTCTCTGCCTTGAGCGCCTCCAGGAGCGGGGTGGTCTTGGGCGGTGGGGACAAGGCCGCTTGGGTCGCGGCGATTAGGGATTCGAGGGAGGGGGGTTCGGTGGATTGCTGGGAGCTGAGGGAGGCGAGGAAGGAGATGTAGTCTTCGTCTGGTGGCAAAGAATATGTATCAGTCTTTTTCAGAGCAGCGGGACGTACATACCAGTCTCAATGGTCCCGCTGCGCGCGTCGGCCTTCTTCTTCTCCGGCGGGACCTTCTGGTACGGCGCAAACTCTACGACCGCGTGCGATTCGTTTCCTGCCAGTAATCTCCTCGTCAGCTCTCTCAAGTAGAAGACAAGAACACAACTCACCAGCCTTATCGCGAAACAAATGCCCGTCATACTCGGCACTGAACCGTGCGAGCTGCTCCTCGCTCTTGAACGCGATATACGCGCGCGACGGGACGTTCTCCTTGTTCAGCCTTCCCTCACCATTAAATTAATATCATTCTTTCGCCGAATAATGCGAGGTACACACCGCTTGCGCATCTTGCCAGGATAGAACGTCTTCCAGCTCACAGTCTCGTCCGAGACCCAGTTCTGAACGCTCTGCCAGAAGACCTCCTCGGGCAGGTTTGGCGGCAGGCGGCGCACGACCGTCTTGAGGCGCTCGGTGGACACGGGCGGTTGGGAGAGTCGCGAGTTATCTTTATCTTTATCGTTACCCTTGTCGTTGGCTTTGTCTTTCTTGTCCCGCCGCGGTTTACTGGTGGGTTTGGCCGTCGACATGCTTGAAGCCGAAGAGCACAGTAGGAGGCTAACCCTAACCCTAGCTGCGCGTGTTTCTTACATACTCGCTCTCAATATTGCGCTTCCCGACCGAATATCAGTTTCGAGTCATTCTGTAGAACAAGGACGCGCCGGATCGCGCCAGCACCACAGGTGTCCCCGAAGACTTTCTAATCCTCATCTATACTTCCTCTGAATCGCTTCTGGACCCTCTTGTACGCTGCGCGAGCGGCGGGGGCATGGAGGCCTGGTCTGACCAGTATTGTTTACAGGCCATGCGACACGATCTACTCGTCAGCGACTCCTTCAGCACCCCGGCAGTGACACGATAACGAGTACTCGTCCTCATTTTCGACTTCACCAACACCATCGCCGATTTCCTTTTCTCACTATCCTACGGGCCACGCACGAACTGCTCCCTGAGTCACCCACATCCGCGCTCCGCCGCATTTCTCCTCACCATAGCTTTCTTGCTGCGATCACCCTAATCTGATGATCCATGGCCAATCCGATTGACCAAACGAAATCTGCCTCGCATCGATCACACCGGCACACTGAACTCGTTCTCTCGCGTTCTTGGTCTATCTAGTTACCGCGCAAGCCCGACTCACGCACCGTATGCGCTGGTCCTCTCTTGAGGCACATATCATTGCGTAACCCGGTCTAGTCGTCGTTCTGACCTTCCTCGATCCTTGGTCCTCGCCCTTCTCCGCCCTCTCGGCCACCATGCCGCGCACAACCCGAGCGAATACCCACAGCCTCGAGTGACCTTCGGTACCTCTCGCCCTCCTCGTCCTCGCTCTCCTCGCCCTTCGCCTTTCCAACTCGCCCTCGGGCTCGGTCCCACCAACGCCTTTCTCCGCGTCGCCGTCGCCGCCGTCGCCGTCCCTTCTGTCGCTGGCTCCGCTTAGATACTGACGGACTACCTCCCCAAGCCCCACAGACAGAAATTGCGACCGTCTCAGAGTGCGCATTGACCTCGAAGTAACCCCAGCACCCAGAATATCGAAAATGCACCCCTCATCAGGCCGACAGCGACTCTCCATTCGCCCAAAATAAATCCCCATGGCTCCGCCTCTCCGCGTGGATCCGGCAGAAGCCTGCCCAGCTCCGTCCGCCCCTTCACCTCCCTCTCGACCTCCTGGCACCTCTCAACCAGCCCGAACCCGTGTGCCAGCGCACCCAGCGCGCAAATACGTACATACCCGCATACAACCGGTCTCGACAAGGCGAGGCTGGAATCAATCCTGGGCGGGGCGGGGTGGATTCGGATCTGGTGTCGAACGGAGACTGATAATCTGTGCGCTGGGACAACACCTATCGTGCGGTACAGAATGGCGTAAAGATTAGCGCGTATGGATTGGAGCGTCTGTCGTGTGCGTTGAGACGAAACGCGTTTCCCTTCCAGTACTTCAGCCTATGTATGTAGATCTGGACTCCATAGCTCTACGGGATGATTCTTCTTATTCGCTCTACGAGCCTCCCATTTTTTTGCCGGGTGGGATTTGTTGGAGGACATGTAGACAAGTGAGTCCACACACATCCTCGCTTTCAAGAATTAAAAAAAATCCAAAAAGAAGACAAAAAAAAGCAGGTCGTGCCCGGAATCGAACCGGGGTTACCAGAAATCTTTACCAATGCAGTGAAGGACATCAGAATCTGGAGTGCTAACCCCTACACCACACAACCAATACCAACCCCTTGCTTTTGAATAACACAGAGTCAGAAGGGTCTCAAAAATCTTTTTCAGAATTAAGTAAAGGCTTAAAAATCAGGGCTGATACCTCAAATATCATCTGCCCCGCTGAAAGGAGGTTCAAGTTCCTCAATGAAGTTCACATGAAACATGCAGAATCGTGGCTGATTTGGTGGCCATTCCTCTACGGATGATAACGTGTCAAAACCTAATATTTACGCTGAAACTGAAACCCAAACTTGGCTTTTAAATTTGCATATCAAGGCACAAGAAATGTGAATAATTCGAGGCCATTTCTGCACCAGGGATATACAACCCTTTAACACTGTCTTGAGTAACACTAAAATGAGACATGATTCTGACCGTTTACGTAAGGTAGGCCAATTCTGTTGAGAAACTTGACCTTTCAGATGCACCTCACAGCCAAGGCCATGATTGGATGCCTTCCCCCTCACAACTAAAGAAGCTCACTGATGTCCAACATGAGTTTCTTCGGCGTCTTCTCGGTGTCCACTGCCAGTCCATTCTTTCCCTTCTTTTCACAGAAACCGGGGTTCTTCCACTATGTTATCGTCGTCCTACACTGGCGCTGGGTTACCTCATCTACCTAATCACACTGCCACCAAACCATCTTGCCAACGTTGCGTATATGGACTCACTCCTCCTCTCCACTGCAGGTTTACCTTGCTGGATCTCTGACCTCCGATTTGTCCTTCAATCACTGCCCACTCCCATCACTTTACCAGACGGCGAGCTCACGGTCGAAACTGTTGATGACATCCGGAAGGCACTGAAAGCAGGATGTGACGCGTGGCTTAGCAATCTTACTTCCCAACGGTCCTCTCGCCTCCCACTCATCCAGGGCCGATTGGAGCGTAATGAGGATGGGAACTTTGTCCATGTAGCAGCCAAACTGCGACATTATCTCCGCATTCCTGTACCGGCACATAGGAAGGCATTGACCCACCTCTACTTCTCAGCGCACTGGCTCGGAATCGAGGTGCTCCGGTACAAGGAGCACCATCAGTCGAGAACTCCTCAACCCAGTGGAGAGTGAGAGTCATGCTCTCTTGGGTTGTATGGCATTGGCATCCTTGATCATCCTACGCAGAGACTTCTTGGCTGACATTTATTAGCTGCTCCTTGATCTCTCGTCAACTTGGGACTCAATTGACGCCCTCCTGCTCGCCCTAGTGCAGTGCCGTGACTTCGATGTTATGCAGAGACTAGCGAAGTACACGTTTGATGTTTTTGCAGTGTTCGCAACTTGTGAGGTTTTCAAACCCGCCGGATATGTATATAACAGATTAGAATAAAACCGTGTTTCTTCATACCATACAGTGAATGTCCTACACCCCTGTGGACTCTGGATTCGCCTCGAGAGACCAACCGGTATTTGATTTTTTGTACTCGATGTTGGAGGCAGAGTGGGGTTTTGCAGGTATTCAAGGGGCTAAGCTGTATAGTATCCATAGCATACATCTGATGCAATGCATGTAGTACGGGCCCCGGCTGTTTCTTAACGGGACCGCGCCGGAATATACCTACCTACCTACCTACCTGTCACATCAACTTCCTAAGTTCGATTGATACGAGACATTTGGTCAATACAACAACTGGTAACTATCAGAATAAATAGGTACAACTAGACGGCTAGGGGGGCTAGGCCCAAGCCGTGTATTGAAAAATGAGTAAATTAAAGTAACCAAGTAGGTCTGGAATGGACAGTAAAGAGAATCCATCCCTGTACGAGTACGAATGATGTCTATGGAGGGAATGAAAGCGAGAAAGGAAGAACACAGACGGAGGGCATCCGCGATCAGAACATAACCATTTCAAAAAGAGCGGCAAATCATTCTCGTGTCCATGGATCTCATATTTATGGTCCAGGAAATTATTCTTGAGAAGAAGCGAGAGAGGAGAGAACACTGATCTCATCATCTGGCCCACAGCTTCCTGGCTCTGGAGAGTAATGTCACAATGGTTTTTTTTTCAAAATGCAGATGAATACCATTGCCTTTGGTTATATACAATGCCGCGCTCGTGAGCCATCGGCAACAGGACTTTTGCCGTCAATATAGAGAGTGGGTTTATGTTTCCGACTCGGCCGAGGATGAACCGCCGCAAATTGCGGAATTTGGGCTCCCTCGACAAAGCGGTATCGAGCTGGCCCAAAAATATTTGGTCGTTTTCGAGTTCTCTCTGCAAAAAGACAGTAATCAAATTCCAATTGGATGCAGGCAGAAGTAATAGCGTCTCGATGGTGTTCCACGGTTCCGGGCACTGGAATGAGAAATTGCAAAGCGCAGTGAGGTAGAGTAGATTATTTCGGAGGAAGGTCAGAGTTCCTGCAGATAATGTATATACCAATGGACAGTTAGTGAGGATGAGACAGACAGACCTTGCCGTGGCCCCTCAATCAGCAGAATCAGGGATTCAAGCTCCCCACCGACGCGCTGAAAGTAGGTCTCCAGTGCTCGCGCATCATCGACCACCTGTCCCTTGAAGCTCAACGACTTGAGGATGGGAACCGTTGGAAGGGAAAGCATCCAAGCGAAAAAAAGATGCCCCCTCGTTGATGTAATTATATCCAAATGCATAAAACGAGGCAGAGACAGTGAGCCATTTATGTCCCTGCTGAAGCCAAAGGACTGAACGGTCGCTGCCTCTAATGTCGGAACACATGATATGAGATTAATTATCCGGCTGAGAGGGAAGGCTGTGAATTGAGGAAAAATTCGGATTTAGAAACATGAAAGTAGGGCCGAATTGGATCCCCAAATGCGCAGGTAGGTCCCGAGGTCATCGAGCCACCCAATGGCCTCAGAAACCCCCCCCCAAATCAGGACTGTGATACCGATGCTGATGAGACTGGAGCAGTGATCCAGCCGTGCGAGATGTGACCGATCCAGAGGCTGGCTAGGATAGTGCAAATTTAGGTGTTGGACAAATCGGAGGATGGGAAGGAAAGAGGTGTCCAGAAGATTCACGAACGACCCAAAGTTGTTCGCGGTCAAGGTCACTGTCGAAAAGAGGTGATATCTGCTGCGAGGCAGCCACCTTTTGCAAATGAGGCCGCAGATATTTGTTGAGGCTAAATCTTCAGGGTTACGGGTAGAGTCGATAATTTGATCGATGAGCTCCTGGGGAAAGTCACGGATGGTGTGATGTCCGATTCCATGCTGGCGCCTCAGAAGGAGCCAGCAGAATATTCCAGCCAGCTGGTACATATTCGAATGTGTGCAGCTGAGGTGGTTTCTTCGGCTGCGACACGATTTCGAGTCTATGTCACCATAGTTTGAGCCAGGCCACAAAATGAACCACGAGAAGAGAAATCGCTCTACCTCTGCGGTCGGGGACCACCCAAATGCGACACACTCACACTCACACTCACGGAGATTGGCACAGTCTGCTGCGACACTGTCCCCAAAAGCGCTGAGATGCGACACTCTCGGCAACTCCCACCCAAGCGAGAGTGTTGATCCGACGGAGCACTGTCACCCTGGAATCCAGTTTCCGCGGGCGAATCAAGGTGAAAACAGGCCGGTTAGTGTGGATCAGACTCGGATCATCCTCTTTATTGATCCCCTGAATTGCTTGTGCCTGCCCGGCCTTGTTGGGGGAGAGGTTTAATTTCATAGAGAAAGCGCCAACGAGTCTTTAGCGTGCCGACCTGAGATGCCCCGGTTTGGGGGACCCCCTGAGCGCAGCAAGGGAGGGGAGGGGCATTGAATGGTCGTTACTCTTGGCGCACACTCCGAAATGCCTGGTACATTTTTACTTTACAAATGCTACTCTAGTTACATTTCTTGTAAAGTATCTAAATAAGATCCTTCTCGCGCCATCATGCCGACAGTTGCCGTTAACCGATTGCCGGGATCACCAGCGCCAGACTGTGGTAGGTTCGGAACAAGCCTCTCTCCGGTCCAGCGCGCTGGAGCATCTCGGAGAGAGGCTTGGGACAAACTCATCAAAATAGCGAGGTCCTTTGAAGTCGAGTTTCCGGCCCATCGGTCCTTCCTCTCCCAAGTACTAGAGTCAATGGCCTTCCTTATATGTCTAAAAGTGGCGTAGATAACAGTCCAATTTTTCTCCCCCACAGTATAGCCCACTATAGACCCGATTTCGGGGCACTCGTATTTGGCCAACTGAGCCAAATGCGGGAATGTGGATGGTCTGGACCATACATTTTATGGGCTCAATCAAAAGATAAACTAAATTTGAGAATATCTGCCGCTTCAGAATTCTGATTCCTGGCTTTTGACGCGTCAGAAAATTTCAACGAGGTCCGCGAATTGGCGTAACATTATGTCACACCGTGACTCGACGCGATCGACCATCGCTGCTTTGCTCCAGACGCACCGTTTTGGAGGTAGTGGCTCTAGTTTGAGTCCGAGGTGTTTGAGATTGTGGTGTAGCTATTCGGCGAGATGTAAAAAGTCAATGGATTTTTTGCCGATCATTCCCAAAATGGAAATGTGAGGTGGCGATTCAGATTTCGAAGTCGTTTACGAGCCACGCAACCTATTTCGACCCGGAAAAAAAGGGAGGACATCCGAGAAGATAAATTAAGGAATATTGTTGACTCGAATCCTTTCAAATGTTCCAAAAGTGCTCAAAATTGGCCAAATGGAAGAGCACTTTGATCTTGAAGATTATCTACTTCCTGAGCATCATGTACACTCATTACGACCGATGTGAAAAAATTTGAATCAGCCAAAGTTTCATGAATATAAAGAAAGCCCTCCAAATGTCCGAGGCGATCGACACGCTTTTGCATGCTCTAGGACGCGACAAAGGTCCTGCCCTTTTTAGTTATCTTGGCACAGGCCCCTTCCATTGTTTGACCGAAAACTCAGCCCGCATCAACAAACAATGAACGGCGGCTTGATCCGAACCTAGGGCGTAACTGCCAGTGATTTTGCCGACAGTGTCGCAACCGATTGTTTTGGCCGACAGTGTCGCACCTCACCCACATCCACAAGCGAGTGTG